CCCTAGACCGTGTCAAGACCAATGATGAAATTCCTAATTTTAATTTCATAATCCTATTGTGTAAACATATCTTTTTAGACTTCATCTTACACTCTAACCCAGCAATATTCTTCAACCCTATCATATCATACAGTTCATTATTTTTACTATCCAGCTTCCTGTCCTTGCGTCTTTTTTCATCTAGTCATTAAAATGCCACTCACCATTATTCCAAGTGCTTCCATGTTCTCAAGCCCATTGCCTCTCACTTCATGTGTTGTACTCATGTGTTAGTACATAAAGCCCAACAGTGAGTGGGTTATCCACCAATTAGCCAGTGCACTCTGCCTTTCTTCATTTTGATGAATGAATGTTGCTTGATGTGCCACCAGTTGCCCTGCATCCCATCCCCTTTTGCCTACTCAAGTGCAGAGTGCTCACTCTCTCGTGGATCAATTTTTCCTCTTGAGTATTCTCATCATTAACAACAAAAGCTATAATATCCTGAATCTTAAAAAATAAAATTCTTGAACCCGTATTCCTTTTCTGAAAACTATAGGAAGAATTATCTTCAATTTCTCTCCTTCCAGTATCTCTTGAATTGTCTTCAGTCAGGGTGTGCATGCTACCATTCCACAGAAGCTGCTCTGTTCCGACATCTATTATCTCCACAGTGGTGAGTTCTCAGTGCTCACTTCATTTATCAGCAGCATCCAACAATTGATCACTCCTTGAAACCTACATGCTAGTGGCTTTAATCCCATTTATGTTATATTAATGAGGTAGGAGTCATGTGGGGTTTATCATAAATCAGTTTCTTTAAAGATAACGGAGTCCTGGTATAGCGCTGTAGGATAAGCACTGGACCAAAACAGTGGTTTGAACCGCAAGGTCAGCAGTTCAATTGGCTTAGGGGTAACCTTCTCTTAATGGCACTACCCCACTCTAACTCACTGGCTGCTCCCATTCTTGTTGGCTCATCTCTCCAAATCTAAACATGACTCTGCCTCAAGATTCACTCCTTGTACCTCTTATCTGTCCCCAATTAGTAATATGTCAAGATGAGATCACTTTAATCTCTCCTTCTGGACCTTTCTCCTAAATTCTAGTTTCAAATATACAACTACCTGCTTGCAACTCCCACTTGGATGTCTAAAAAGATTTAAAACTTAACGTCCTAAACAAAAATGCTTCTGTATATACCCCTAGATCTATTCCTGAAGTCTTCTCCAGCTCAGTAAATGGCTGTCGTATTTACTTGAGCCAAAAACTTCAGTGTCTTCTTTGACTCTTATCACACCCACATTCAATTAGGAAATCCTGTCTACTACATCTTCAAAATATGTCTAGAATCTGCCATTTCAGCCTCATTTATTACCTGGATTATTCCAAGATCCTTCTAAGTAGACTTCCTGCTTCCATCTCTATCCCCTTACAGTGTTTCTAACACAGGAGTCAGATCACATTAAATCAGTTCATGTCATTTTTCTTCCTCACTGGTTTTGTATTTGTTCAGAATAAAAACCAAACCCCTACACCCTCAAGCTCTCTTTTCTCATCTCTTACTATTTTCCCCTTTAGTCTTCTCTAGCAACAGTGGCCTATCAAGCATATGCATCTAAGACCTTTGCATATGTTATTTCCTCTTCATGGAACATTATTCGCACAGATAACCGTACCATTCCCTCACTGTCTTCAGGTTGTTACACAAGTGTTGCCTTATCCCTGAAGTTTTTCCCGATTGTTCACTATATAAACAGTACTCTCCCCCATTTTATCACTGTTTCTCTACTAGAAAGTTCCAGTAGAGACTTTTGCCTTATTTATGTCTGCCTAGAACAGAGTGTGGCACGTATTGTTTTAATTGCTTAAGTAATGAATCCAAGGTATTTACCACCATTAGACTTTCCCTTTCGGAGTGTAAGTTTTGAACTTAGAACAGTTCTTGGCACGAAGTAAGTGCTCAATAAATACTGAATAAACAAAGAAATGAATGGCAAAGGATCTCCTTTGGGTTTTTTAGTTAAGTGTTTTCCTTCTCACTACAAATAAAAGTTAAACGTTACTGAAATTTTTTTTATCAATTCAAATGTTACTTACCACCACCCCTTTCAAGGAAGTTTTACCAGTAAATTCAAATGTAATTTTTTATTAAAAAGAATATAAATAATTTACCTATTTTCTCTTCATGCAAACAACACATTTTTTTTTTTTTTTAAGTGAACTGAAGTTAAATCTGATCACCATGTCTATCCTGCACTCAGACTGGCAGCCACTCTTCTGGTAGTCCTTGCTTGAAAAGTAAAGAAATGGCTTTGTAACATGAGATACTCTGTTATAGATTTGTTGTAAATCCTAACCTCCATACTAATGGTTTTAATCCCATTTTTGTTATATAAATGAGGTAGGATTTGTGTGGAGTGAATCATTAAGTCAGTCTCTTAAAAGATATGGAGTCCTGGTGTAGTGCTGTAGGATAAGCACTGGACCAAAGGAGTGGTTTGAACCGCAAGGTCAGCAGTTCAAACTCCACCAGTCTTTCCTTGGAAACCCTATATACAGGGTCACTGAGTTGAAACGGACTTGATGGCACTTAACAACAGCAGCAACGACAGAAGAGGTCAAACACAAGCTAGCAAAGAGAGATGGGAAAGAGAGATGCCAAGCACAAGAAGACTGCCCAGGAGCAGAAACTCAGAAGTGACAATGACCTTCCTCCAGAGCCCACAGAGAGGAGAAAGCCTTCCCCTAGAGCCAACACCCTGAATTAGGACATCGAGCCGCCTCAGCTGTGAGGAAATAAATTTCTATTTGTTAAAGACATCCACTTTTGATATTTCTGTTAGAGCAGCATTAGATAACTAAGATACTTTATCACACCCCCCACACACACACACACACATTTTGAGACGGTTTGTGCCAGGCATATATGGCTTATAGTGCAAAGGAATAAAAGTGGGAGGACTGGTACAGATATAATTAAAGGCCAAACCACATATTGTCATATAGATTTTAATAGATTTTGATGAACCCATCACAGTAATCATATTTACTGTAATGATATGCAGTTTTACTATACTAGTATAAGTAAAAACAGATAAATACAGTTCTAGGCAACATCACAGATTAACAAACTAAGCATTCTTCATGAACCAAAACTGAAAACAATTATAGATAAGAGAAGATGCTGACACCCATGCCCATTCTCACCATACCTTCTCAAGATGGGAATTCCAATAAGGCGCTACACTCATTATACTGGTCAATTAAATTGCCAATTAACCAGGTACATGTATTTCATGGTCTCCACAGTTTCATTTGGCTGGAAGGTAGGCATACCTCAACATACCAAAAACTGGAACAGACAGTAGTACCAGACAACAACTCAATGCATTAAAAATATGTCACTTCTTCTGTATTCCAGCAGTAAAACAAATCTGGAATAGAAATATTATACCAAAGAAGAAAACTAGTGCTTTAATATCCACCTTGAAACATGAGTCTCTAAATCAGGATGTTGTTGTTAAGTGCCGTGGAGTCGGTTCCGACCCATAGTGACCCTGTACAGGGTTTCCGAGGCTGTAAATCTTTACAGGAGTAGAAAGCCTCATCTTTCTCCCGCGGAGCAGGTGATAGTTTCGAACTGCTGACCTTGCGGTTCACAGCTAAATCAGGATAGGCAATGAAAATAGGATATGGAATTGAAAAAAAGGAAACATGGAAAATAAAATGCATACGAAGTTGAGTTTAATTTTTGAAGCTATCTGCATGAAAAAACTGGTCTCTCCTTTGAAGGCTTTTAGTTCAAAGTTATCCAGTAGCCATGCCAACGAGTTCATATCCTAGCAGTGCCCAGTACTCTGTAAGTACACAAGTTGGAGGTATAGAGAATTATCATTAGGAAATTGACTCTGATTGGCCAAAAAGAAGTCTTAAAAGGCTTATAAAGAAAACTTGACGTCTGCCAAGTGGGTGACATAATTACAGCAAAATACTAACGTTAGGCAACAGCACAACTAAAACGGCCTCAAGAAATTCCTAAACTTTTACTCAACTTTCAATTGTCATTCTAATATGGCTTCATGATCTTATAAATCTTCACAGTCTTACAGATATATTATTATTAAGGACTAGGAAGTGAAGAATCACTTCCAAAACATTAAAACAGTTAACTTCTTGTTGTTATCTTTCAGAAATGTCTGTCTGCAAATATTCCTCTTCCTACCAAAGATGCATCATCAGAATAGTTAGGATAGTCCCTTCAAGTATATTGCCTTTGCTGATAGTGAATTAAGACCATGATTATGATGGACATTTTTACAAAAACAAAAATCCCAAACACACTCCAGTAGATGTTCCAACCCATTGTGCAATGAATGTGTACTGTGGATACTGAAATTATTATATAGCACTTTTAAGTATGGATTTGATCTACCCAAAGTCTTAAGAGTTATATTCGGTTTAACTTAGAAATTTTTAGCTGCTACCTCTGCAATTCTATTGTTTTTATTTCATTTCTTTTCAAAGGTTACCACTATTTAACTTTTGTTTGCAATTTGAAAAATGATTTGTAGTGTTTCAGATTTCCAGTTAATGAGTCAAAATGGATAGATCAGAAGAGATAATCCAGGAGATGGCAGTGAAAGTTCAGAAAAGGTTTATGTACACATTGAATCATAGAAATAACCACAACTTTTTTTTAAACCCTTACTCCCATTGTAAACTTTGTTCATATCCCCATATTTGTATGTCTGAATTAGTCTATAAAAATCACATTAAAAAGGTAAAATTATTTCAGTGAGATTAACTGATCTGTATTTTATAAATTTTAATTCATAAAAATATAAATAAGAATGGTAAATTTTTAAGAAAAGAATATACATTTAGTGCAAGTTATGAATTACATTTCTTCAGTGTCAGCAGTAAAACTATCTTGAAGAAAAGAAAAAAAAAAAGACTGATCTAATTTCAAGAAAAAAATTCCAGTGTCTTAACATGCAATTAATACCAGATACACTAAACAGAATACTTCCTTCTCTGTACTGTCAAAAGCAGCAGCGTTTTGTTTCCGTATGCTGAACCACACTTGTCTATCATATAGCAGTTTCAGAAATAGAAAATTTGCATAAGACCAGGTCACATTATCCATAAAGTCTGAGATGAAAAAAAGAAAAACTCTGTAGATCCTTTAAAGTTTCACTGTTGATTCTGACCCACAGCACACAAGCTGAGAGATTTCATTCACGCTGGCTTCCTAGGAGGTTTTACCTGTTTGACCCGCCTTTGTAGTGGTGCACGTGCACTGTTCCAAGCATTTAGTGATGGTATGGACTAACATGGTTAATGGCACAAGACACACTCCCTTCCTGTGATGAAACCTCAGTAAATCACAGTACATCTCAATATGAGAAAGGACTGCTTTAAAAGGGTACTCCAGTTTAAAGAGGCTTTGTTACAGCTCAGGAAAGAGGGAGAAATAAAAGCTCTTCTGGAATGTAGAAAGGTAATGGTTAACTATACAATTCATGAATTAAACAGAACAGTTTTGATTAAAAAAAAAAAAAAAAGGGCAAGACCTTGCAGTCTTAGAGATGGCTCAATTCAAAGCAATCCCTCCAGAAATAGGGACTGATAACACGTCTTTGCAATATTGGAGTTAACAGGCTAGGTGCTGCTCATGAACTCCGATGTCATCTCCATTGAGGCTCAGCCTGCACTATCATGGCATATCCTCAGCTGAATGCATCCAGTGCAGAACAACAGGAATTGATTTGCTGCTCTCAGTTAGGCGGTGAGATACCTCATTCCTCCTTTCTCTCTCTCTTTCCCTCCCCACAAAACTCCTTCATTCCACCAGCACTGTTTGCAAACCATGTTGCAAAAGTCCAGCTTTTTTATATTTCCTTTTTTTTTTTAAAGGAGAAAAAAAGTAGATGACTCCCTCAGGCTAAAGAGTTGTGCTATTCAACAAATGAACTTCCTCTTCTGTTTCCTCTCTCTCCTCATCTATGGGATTCAGTTGAACATTATTGAAGCGGGGTCTTGGTTTGCCGTCTGGGCCATATGACGGAGGATATCTTTTTTTGTTATAATGCCAAGGAGGCGTCTGAAAGGGATAAACAGAAGATTGCTATTAAAATAAGAGGGAAATGAAAAAGAAGCTAAATCTACAGCTAAATCCTTTTTGTTGACAGGAATAGAGCAAAGCAAGCAGCCTGATTTTGTACTTTCAAAAAATTATTTTATTGGTAAAGATAATAAAATATCCAGTAACTATCATTTGATATAAAAAGTATTATGGTCACTCATAGTATGATATCATTTTAAATGAGACTCTTGAGGACTGCATGCCTCACTGAAGTATAGATTTAATATATTCCAATATAAAAAAGGGGATGGGGTATGAATAGGAAATTATATTGATCTCACTTAAGGAAAATTCATTCCCATCACAACACAAAAGCAGTAAAATGTCTAATGACAAAAATCCCCTCAGTATTACACTTTTTATTTATTTATTTTTTACCAAACTTGATCATTTAAAAAAACATAAAACCTAAAGGATTACTACATTAGGTGTAGAATCTTCATGAAAGCACATACAGTTAAGATAAAATGCATATAAAATGGTCAGCACAGACTTCAATTCCAAACTTCAGAACATCTAAGAATAAATCTTAAAAACAAATCAAGTTTCTAGTATTCTCATCAGTGTTTTCATTTTTTTACTTTGGCCAAACAAGATTCGGACACAGTGCTTTTATGAAAGTCTTAGTTGTTAATGCTTATATTAAAAGATAGGTGAACAAACAAGAAGCAGTCCTAACATTACAGGTGAAGCAGAGAGCACAATGAATGAGCAGCTACTATACTATTTTGGTTAGTAGTTTTTTAAAAAGGATGCATGAAACACTTGTGAAATATTAGCATACAACAGGAATACATAATCAGTTGTGTACTTAAACGAAGTGGGACACGTTGCATATATATATATATATATGACTATGACAATTGCTTGGCAAAATAAGTTCAGGCGTTAAATGCTAAAGCCAGACAATTTTTATGTTATAATTCAAAATTTACCTTTAGTCATGAAAACACAAGGACATAAAGCCAGTCAAAACAAAACACATTTGACCCCAAGGACTGCTTATATAGCATTCTAGAAGCATCATACAAAGGGGCACACACATGATCTAGGTACAATTCACTGATGAAATGACAGGACACACATTCTTGACTTTGAAAGTATGGAGGGTGTAGCAGAAAAATAACAAATACTAGGATCACAAATATATATGCATAATGTTCTAGTTAGTGTGACTATTGAAAAATCCTATGGATTTTTTTTTAACTGATCAGCAATTCTTACATTGCCAAGATCGTTAAAATCACTTATGAGTTTAGATTTACCACAAGACTACCACAGATTAGGAAACATAAAATAGAAAAAGGGGTTTGGGGGCGGTGGGATATTGTAACCAGTCAGCATATTCTGGGACAGGTGTACCCACTAAGGTAGATAGATTTTCATGTTTACTTTATGAATGTCCAATGTTATCTTACTCATTCAACTACTAAGCTGCTTACAGTTCTTAAATTGTAACTAATGATTTTGCTTACTTTCTATGAATGAAATTTTATACATAATCTAAATTTTTCTTACAGACAAATATTATATAAGACACAAATATAAATTGGCTGCATAGTAAGATTTTTTTGTTTGTTCAGCAGGTATCTGTGAAAGAGAGCACTGAACAGTTCACAAGTTTCATGCTTCCTGACTTCTAAGGTGTCTAATGAGGAGATCTGATATATCTAATCACCAAGGGTTCCACGTGCTGCTTTAGTTGCTCGAGATGCTCTAATATGTTCTTCTTTGTGATGATCCCCAAGACAATCCTGAAACAGATCATGTTATGCTAATAACTGTGTGAGAAATTAAATTAAAAGAGGTTCCAATCATAATGATAAAGAATGAGAGAAAAAAATTAAAACATGAACTATAAAAATGCTTTTAATGAACTTTAGAAAACAGAAAACAAAAATGATTTGAAATTCTGGATTTCTTTTGCATAAATTCTACTGACTTGAAAAAGTGACACAATACTTAAGTACTGGTGGGTTGTTTTCGTTTTTATAATAAAAATAAAAATATAAAGTTCATAATGAATATGACTACAAAGAAAATTATAAGAGAAACTTAATAGTGATACATAGCTATAAATCTCTGATGTTGAGACTTTCATTTTCAGTATTTTCTCCTGAGAGAAAAATAGTTCCTAATTTCTATAATATCATAATGCAGTTAAGTTGTCATTTGGATCTACCTGAGCACTCAAAAGATAGGTACAAAAAGCTTAGCCTTTGTTGTCTGTGAAGAGACTTGGATTCCTATTAATTATGGTTTAAAATTAAATGCAGTGCCCACTAAATAAATAATGCCACAACAACTCTCTAACTTTCAGGAACAATGAATGCCACTTCTAAATAGACCATATTTATAATTAGAAGTCAAAATTACTTTTACTCTATGCATTTTAAAAAATAATGATCCTTTATCTGTTAACACAGTATAACAACAAGCAAAGTTATGGACATGAATTCTCACAATGTGGATACTTAAAACGAACTAAACTGCTTTTAGTTATTAAAACAAAATCTGGTTACTGATTTTATAATGGATATTAAATTAATTCAACTACAATATGTAGCAACACAGACAGTGAAAGTCAAAAACCTTAAAGAGCTTTCATCTTTAAATCTTAGAAGCCCATCTACCCTTTTAGAGTCCTTGGCCATTTCCCTTATCATCTGGTTAAAGATAACGTTCTCTCCTTTGAAAATTCTGGCTTCTGGAAGAATGTCACTAAGGGACTTCCAGTCTGCTCTCAAGATTATGTCAGATAGAAAAGAGTTAATTGAAATGATGGGGTATGGAGGAGGAGAGCAGCATGGAACAAGGAAGTAGGGAATGGACAGGGGTAGGTTATCTATGATTGTTTTCTTTTTAAAGTAAAGCACTGACTCTTAAGAATAACAATAAGTAGGAAAGATGTCAGCTCACCCTCCAAAAAGCTCAGAAGCTGTACTATGTAAAATGAGTACTCAATAGATACTCTTTTTCAAGTCACATGGTTAATGGTTGGAGTTGTGAGGAATAAAAATCTTGACAATGAAATAGAATTACCGCTATTCTTACTCGCTATTCTTACTCATGTTTTTCTATCCAGTTACATACAATGATCAATTTTGGGTAATACCGCAAATGCACATGCAAGCACATTTGTGTGTATGTTTGAAAACTCTGCTAAATCACAAAGTACACAATGAGGAAAGTTACAAATTTGTATTGACTAGGTGGCAAATTTAGAGCTTTTTAAAGTAATCTTTGTATTTACAAAATAAACACAACTTTAATGAAGAATAATTTAAAAATAATAAAGCCAGGGTCTAACCTTAATTTCAGGAGTGGAAGGAAAATCAATGTAAAATGTGATTCATGCAGCAAACATTTTCTCTCAAACTAACACATACTGATGTAATCTAGCATTTTTTCCAAAGTCCATCCCAAGAAATGCTAGCACCATGAGATCACTGTACCACCAAAAGATTGCAAGTTCAAATAAGTTGTGAAAACTACTGTTTACTATTATCCCTGTGGTGTCGTGAAGGATTTAATGTCTTTTTTTTTTTTTTTCTAACCTTAGTCTTTTTAAGGCCCCAAAACAATTATTTTCCTGATTGTTCTGAGTCAAAGAAGGTAGAAAATGTACTGATAGAATAACATGATCCAGCTGTGGATGTCAACAGCGTTAACTGTAATTGTAAAAACTTGGAATTCTAGCATGGGTATAAAATAAGCCATCTTAAAGCAGGAGAGGAGAAATCAAACAAGAGACAGCAGTGCAATGTGTCCATTGGACCCAGAAATCCCTGCGTCTTGAACCTCCTCGAACCTCCTCAACCCAGGAACAGAAAGTGGTGGCACTGGAGGAGTCGCAGAGAAGTAGCAGTAGCAGAGCCAAGAACCACAGCAAGAGATGGAATGGTGGGCTTACCAAAGCAAGTAAGCTGAGTGACTTTGGGCAGGAGGCTTGCTTGCAGAGTGGGTTTCCTCCAGACACTTAATTGGGGGAACTAGGTTTGCTGACCCATGGAGCTAGAGCTAAGTGCCTTCAGGTTGAGGTGTATGATGGAATGGTGTCTCCTGTGAGCATTTATCAGCAGCCCTACCCTAGGCGTTTTGTTAACATTGAGCAGGTGGAGAGAGGCCTACCTGTGGCCATGGCTGAGGAGAGCCTATCCTGACTGGAAGAACTGTGTCCTGAGCACTTTCTGACCCGGTATTGTATGTAATCTGAATATTTCCTTAGTAACCTCTGTAACTCTGTGAGTATGGTTTCTGAGTTCTGTGTGGTAACTGTAATGACTTATCAAAGTAGAGAGTGCTGTGGGAGGGATGTCTGGTGTTCATTTTCTGCAATCCCCTGTCAGGAAATCATTTTAAAAATGAACATTTTTTAAGTATGAGAAGTTCCACAAAGAATCTCAATTGTATTTAATCCAGAACTTATTTTCTACCAGTTGCTCCTCAGAAACCGAGTTGCTATGAGTTGGAACCAACTCTACAGTGCTTAACAACAACAAAGTTAAACAAAACTCAATAATTTTGAGAAATTCTACTTAATTAAAATATAAAGTGCTAACTGGAAATCAATAACTAATTGACATAACACATATTCCCTCTCACTTCTCCATTCTTTTTCTCTAGATTTGTTGTGTCTCTTCCCTCAAATAATCATTTTCCACCTTGAAGGACCCCGTATAAACTATGAAATGTTATTAGTTATTCAGAACTTCATACTCTCAATAACAACAACAAAAAACTCACGAGGCATGATTGCTTCTCACTTAAAGTAAGAATAAAACACCCTTCCTTCTTTACATAAGGAGTCCTAGTGATACAACAGTTAGGTGCTTAGATGCTAGCCGAAAAGTTGGGGGTCTGAGTCCAGCCAGAGGTTCTGTAGAAGGAAGATTTGGTGATCTGCTTTCCATAAAGATTACAGCCAAGAAAATCCTATTGGGCAGTTCTATTCTGTCATGTAGGGTTGCAATGAGTTAGAATCCACTCAACAACTTTTTTACATATATCAGAGAAATAAAAATCTAAATCATCTCTCCAAATAATCTTTTTTTCTACATGTAATATAGCCATTCATCTTCATTGGAAAACAGAAATAAGCAAAATATTAAAGGCAATTAAAAATATTCTCTTAGAAAAAGCATCCCTCCCAAGCATCAGCTAAGATTTTAATTGGCTCTCCTACACTACTTCTCCTCTTCTCCCCACTGATACTTTTAAATTTTACTTTCTTTTAAACAGTTTCCTTTCTAATAGTCATGATACAGAACACCTGGGAATTAATCATCAGAGTAATATATGAAAATTAACTCATCTAGCTTTATGATCATAGTTAATCATGATGAAATAATTACATTTATGTATGTTAGTACAGAAAAGGACAAATCATGCCAAGCACAGAGATCTTGAAGCAAATAACAATTTGACAACCCAGGTTAGGTTCTAATTGAGCCATTAAGTAACTAAAAGGGCCAAATACCAAAAAAGCTTTATGAAAAGTTACTCCATTTAACATGTACTTAGTCAATTTTTAAACAATGAAGTTTGGTATCATTATTTTGTTTAATTAAGCATTACACACACAAAAAATAATCAAAATATTTTACTACATAATTTCTCTAGTAATTCAAATTTCAAACTTCCTGCTTTTAATTAAGAGCTTTATGCTTTTAATGATTCATTTCATATTCCCTAAATTGTTTTAGTTGATTAAAACACTGAAAAACGAACTAACCACCAATCTACCAATCTAATCCCCTCGCTATATATTTCTATTCCTAGTCCAATGTTGTCTAATACATTATCCAAGAAAATGTTTTAATAGTTTAAGAAATCACAAAGAGGTGGATGCAGTCTATCAGTAGCTCTACACAGTGTAATACAGTAACAAGAGACTGCGTTTTAAAGTTTTAGAAAGTGAGTCTGATTTCCTGGTCCATGACTCACTAGACATAAAACTGAGTATGTTATTAAACCTCACTGTGCGCCAATAATAAGAAAACATGAGGAAGGTGTTCAATAAACATGAATTTCTTGCCTTTTGATTTCCTTTTCCTTCTCTAGACTGGAGTCATGTCTTCTCTGTCTCCCATGTACTTTATACAAAATGTAAAAATGCTCTTTTGGGATTCTCTAAAGTGTTTAGCATTTTAGCCAACCTCAAACTGTTCAGGGTTAACCATCCAATTTATGCATAATCTAAAAACAATCTTTGTTTTTCCTGTCCAGCCTTTCTGTTATCGCCTTTCGATGAAACAATGTTCTGAGCAGTAATGTAATGGAAATAAATATAATGAAAATAAACTAAAGAGAGACAGGGTGGGAAACCTAATTCCATGTCCAGGAGAAGAAAAGCACAGTGAGAAGTATGCTTGCTAAGGCATACTATGCAGCAAATAACCCTGGGGTTTCTGAAACATTGAATGTTTACTTGTAAAAGGCAGGAAAAAAAATCAATTTAAGTACATGAGTGTTTTATTTGTCACTACCAGTATAGCTGTTCCATGGGAGAAAGATGAGGTTTTCTGCTCCCGTAAAGATTTACAGCCTCGGAAACCCTGTACAGTGTCGCTATGGGTCAGAACCGACTCAACAGCACTTAACAACAACAGTATATGTGAAAGATCTGTAGACAGAGAAGGTAGACTATAGGAAACAAAACCTTTGCTAAAGGTTTTTGACTGATTTACAAATTTTGTTTTAATTATATAGTCTTTCTCTCATTACATGACAAGTTAAATACTGGCTGCAAAAGTAAACAAATACTACTACTGTACTAGAATTTTATATACTATAAAAAGCTAAATCCTTAAAAAAACAAACAGGGTTTTATAGTACTGCATGCAGTCTGCTCTACTGTACCTCTATTAAAAGGAAAAGTCTAAGCTTAATGTGCTGTTGCTGTTGGAGCGGTTTCAGCACCTCTTTTCCAGTTTTGAAATTTTCTTGACAAACATCATTTTATATTTTAACAAGGAGCTATTTTATGACTCAGTAAGTAAGTGTGGACTTCACTGACCAATCCTGTATTTATAACCATACTAAAGTACAATGTTCCTACTTGGGAGCTGACTTATACCCTCCCTCACTAAAAAGGATCATAAATTCTGTTATGAGGGTTGATTTTGATACCAAACTTACCCATTGTGAGTTACGAGGCACTGCCTCAGACCCAACTTCCGGAAAATATCCACCACAATCTCCATTGGGGTGTGATCTGTTACTGTAAAAGGGCTCATGTCAAGAATACTTCGAAGTTTCAATGGCCGAGGGCTTTCTGCTGGAAGAGATGGGGTGTGCTGTGCAAAACACACCCGAGAACTGCCAACAATGCCTTCTTGTTTTTTTCTGGCACTTTCTAAAATGAGATAAGAGAAGACCACAATTTCAAAAAATTAATTGATAATTTTGTTTTATGGGCAACCTGATTATGGAAGAAAAGTTAAATGTATCCTCTGATTTCTGGTCCTATCACATTTTCATAACTCCTTCCTAGCCAAGAAAGCAATCAACTGAAAACACTTCCTAGTAATAGCTAACATTTGACAGAATTAGGAGTCCACCAATAACAAATCATCCACATAAAGATAATTTTTGGTATCACATGGTATAATTTTCTTTACCTGGACCGAAGTGGCTTTCTAACTTTGGGGAAGCAAAGAAGCAAGTTTGAAACACTGAATTATAAAACCTGTAAAGTTTATGAGAGTAAGTTTATGATTGGAATCTGCCACTGAATGAAGCCTGCCTAAACTTAATCTGTTGTTAAGTGTTGTCGAGTTGCATCCAATTCATAGCAACTCTTTATAGGGTTTCCAAAGAGCTAGTGGGTTTGAAATGCCGATATTGCAGTTAGCAGTCCATTGCTTATCCTACAAAGCCCTAAATATTATTGGCATTAGAGGTGTGAGTAACATTTCATCCTTGCTTTGACTACCATATGTGTATTATCCCTGTTAATTCATAGCTGGTTCTTTCTAGGCTGGTTCTTTTCTAATGTTAAAGTTTGGTTTTCTGGATGGGTCATGGGTACTACATATGATTTGAAACTGCAACTTTGTACACAATGGATACAGACTCATTGTTTTTGCTATTTTATTTGCAAAGGATATCTGTCTGTTGAGATACAGCTGTAGCGCTGTAAGAAAAGCACTGGACCGATGATAATCACAAAGTCAGAAGTTCAAACCTACCAGCTGCTCCTTGGAAACTCTATACAGGGTTGCTTTGAATCAGAACAGACTCATAGGCACTTAACAAGTTGAGAAAATACGTTTAAAGTACCTGACTAGAATTTGAATCACACACTGAGTTGCTCTCATTTAGTTAGAGAGTGAACCCAGCTAACTGCTTAATTATTTCCACCTCAAAGAGTAGTAGGTATGGGTTCTCAAAGGTTCTACTACAGAATAAATTACCGTTCCTTTACAAATATCATGTATGTGCTTAAATATCATCTTACTAACTTTGAGAATTTCAGATAAGCTACAGTGAAATCTAATTTTCCAGAGTGATACAGAAGTCTTTCTGTATTCTTTCTTGCCAATATGTCCACAGAATCAGAGGGAATATAATTTTTCATTTTCCCAATTCTTTATTTTCATTCTGGCCTTTTTTCCTTTAAGTCTGTACATTTCAAAATTCTGACCTCCTTTTCATTTCCTTTGGCTACCGGTTAAACTTGAAAAATGTGACCCTCAATAATAAAATTCTTTTCTTTAAAACACTTGACCTCAGTCAAATATGATACATATTCTGCCCTGTCAGGCAACTATTATTATTCTATTTAAAGCATAACATGAAATGCTGGACTGCTCGTTTTTGGAAAACTTTCTTACAGTGCAGTAGACTCTTCCTAAACAAAAAGTTCTCTGTAATATTTTTTTCCCTCGTTTTTAATGCCCCTGTCAAATTAATAGTTTGCTGTTTGATTTGAGAAATACAGGACTGACCTTTGGGAACAGGATAAAATGCTCTGCATTTCCAACTCAAGTTCTCTAGCAAACACTGGGGAGTAACAAAGCAATAGTTTGAGGTATCTACTGTCTATAATCCAGCTGGAGTCAGACTGTACTGAAAATGATTAAAAGCCTTACTAGCTTCCTCAAAAGTATGACAGGAAATATGGGGGGAAATAAATTTTGGAAGATCACAATTGCTTCCTACTCAAAAACTGTAACTCCAAGAGATAATATAGTAAAAATAATGTCTATAATTCCAACTATGCATTCAGGAAGATTAGGATAAAATATAGTAGGACTTATAAACTTTTTTCAGTCTGGCATTTGACCAAAAATAAAACAATCTCGGTGATTTTTCATTTTAAACTAGATAGTACAGTTAACACTATAAACCTAAACCCAAAGACTGAAAAGCAAAATGTTATGAATCCAATATAAAAGAGACCAATAAACATGAGATTTTCAGGGCTTCAAACCAGCTCATTCCTGTGCTGAAAATTTGCATTTCTACCCCAAGTATGCTAAGTCAGAATCTACAGTTTAACAACATCCCCAGGTGATTCTTACTAAAATACAACTTCTGATTCAGTACCTATGGGGTTGTGTTTGTTGTTAACTGCCATCATGTCAGTTCCAACTCATAGTGACCCAGTATAGGGTTTCCAAGGAGCAGCTGTTGACTTTGAACTGCCAACCTTGAGGTTAAAACTGACATTGCGGTCTACTGCTTTATCTCACAGCATCACAATGCAAATTCTCAGTAGGAGCTGACTGGAATTAACCTTTTGAAGTCTGAGGGATTTGAAATAACTTGCATTCAACTTTACAACAAGAATGTATTTAGCTGGATGCCCTAGCACTTACTAAGATTTTACATTACACGGCATTAAGAACTAATACCTATCTATAAACACTTATCTGAATGGGAAAAGGAAGAATCTGACTTCAATCTTTGATAACAATGTCAAAAAGAATGGTAACACCATTATTTAGGAGGAAAACAACCCATCAATGAGCATAGGACTTAAAAGGATATAAAATATGCTATTTCCCCAAAATTATATTTTACTTTCATTTCTTCTAAAAATCTTCTCTCTATATATTTTTTGTTTTGTTTTGTTGTGTTGTGTTTGTTTTTTTTTTAAAGATACCTATTGCAATTGTCAGGTCTCTTCTGAGGGCAAATCCCACTAATCTCTGAGATTCTTTTGACATTATGACAGGAAAACCATTGTAGCTGGTTTCATTGATCATGTTTTCTATGTCATCCACTGTCATATTGTCCTGTGTCAGCACAGCTAAAGGTGGATCATTCCTTCGAGGTCTCATGACATCAGCAGCCAGGGTGGTATGAGTGAATTCTTCTTTTGCATCCAAGAAAGGGTAACCATTTAATCGGATGTGCGCTTCATAAATGCCTTCCCTACCAAAGGCATCTCCAACCCATTTACTTGTCATCACTGCAGCCATAAGGGGGACAATATATTCCAAGCCTCCAGTAAGCTCAAAAACAATAACCACCAAAGACACAGTCATTCTTGTCACACCACCTAAAAAAAAAAAAAAGCATCAGTTAGCAGAAAGCACAGGAGCTTTGTCATTATATTACTAGAATTTTTGCACTAGGCAGTTGAACACAAAATTGTAAATAGAACCTACTTAGTGAAAAGCACTGTCATCAAAAACTACAATTCTTCAAGTAAGACAAAAACACTACATGTATAAAATATAGAGAAACATCTTTTTAAATAAATTAATAAGACAAAACTATAAAAATAATCAAAATTCATTCATCCCATATTTTTAAAACAGTAAAATCACAGGTTTGTAGCTAAAAAAAATTTGCCATTTGGGTTTATTCTCATGAAAAGTTTTTCATTCCTAAGTAATATGGTGAAACAAATCAGTTATCTTGTTTGCTACCAATTTATAAATTAAACTGATTAGGTAGGATTATGATTATAAATCACTGATTATATGGTTTAATTAATTTCTCTCCTCTAAATCTTTTCAAAATGAATACAATATTGTGATTTAATAGTGTAAGAATATTCCCTCTCTTAGAAAACTCATCTATTCATTATGTAATATTCATCATTCTCCACTCTGTATCACCTGTATGCTGATGGTTTCCTAATCCACATCTCTCCACTTACTACTGTGTTTGTCCCATCTCTACAACTATCCAAACATACCTTATTGCTGTTTTCCTCTCATTTTTCATTTTCTAGTTGTAAAAACACTTTGTAACTTGGATTATCTACTGTCATTTAAAACAAACAAACAAAACCCACAGTTAAAATCAAACTTCTTTCTTCTACAAAGCGATCTCCATTTTAGCTGATCCAATTCCAACACCAGGCACTATTCTTCCTGACAGCACTTTTTGGCTTATATCTTTGCTCTATCCCGAAATCTAGCTTGTCATCTTATTGTTGTTATTAGGTGCCATCAAGTCAGTACCGACTCATAGCAACCCTATACACATCAGAAATAAACACTGCCTGGTCCTGGGCCAACCTCACAACTGTTGCCACACTTGAGCCCACTGATGCTGCCACTTTGCCAATCCATCTTGCTAGGAGGCTTTCTCTTTTTCTCTTACTTTCCACCTTACCAAACATGATAGCCTTCTCCAGCGACTAGTCCCCACTGACAATACGTCTAAAGTATGAGAGACAAAGTTTGGCTATTCTGGCCTCCAAGAAGCACTTTGGCTGCACTTCTTCCATAACAGATCTGTTGGTTCTTTTGGCACCCCATAGCACTTTCAATATTCTCATCCAACACCATAACTCAAAGGCATCAATTCTTCTACGGTCTTCCTTATTCACTGTCCAGCTTTCGCATGCATATCAAGTTACTGAAAACACCATGGCTCGGGTCAGGCGCACCTTAGTCCTCAAGCTGAAATCTTTGCTCTTCAACACTTTAAAAAGGTCTTATACAGCAGATTTGCCTAATACAATACGTCGTCTGATCTCTTGGCTGCTGCTTCCATGAGTGTTGATGGTTGATCCAAGAAGAATGAAGTCCTTGACAACTTCAATCTTTTCTCCGTTGATAAGAATGTTGTTTATTAATCCAATGGTGAAGATTTTTCTTTTACATTGAGATGCAACCCATACCGAAGGCTGTGGTCTTTGATCTTCATTAGTAAGTATTTTAAGTCGTCTTTTTCAGCAAGCAAGGTTGTATCATCTGCATATCTCAGTTTGATAATGAGCATTCCTCCAATCCTGATGCCACGTTTTTCTTCATAGAACCCAGCTTCTTGGATTATTTGCTCAGCATACAGGTTGAATAAGTATGGTAAAAGAATACAACCCTGTCACACACCTTTCTTAATTTTAAACCATTCAGTGTTCCCATGTTCTGTTTGAATAGCTGCCTTAAGGTCCATGTACAGATTCCTCATGAGCACAATTAAGTGTTCAGGAATACTCATACTTCGCAATGTTGCCCATAACTTGTCAAAATCCACACAATCAAAAGGCTTTGCATAATCAGTAAAGGACAGGTAAACATGTTTCTGGTATTCTCTGCTTTCAGCCAAGATCCGTTGGACATCAGCAATGATATTCCTCGTTCCACATCCCCTTCTGAATCTGGCTTGAACCTGTGGAAGTTCTCTGTCAGTTAATACCACTATTATTCACATTTACGCACCAACTACTAAAGCCAGTGAGGATGAAATTGAAGAATTCTGCCAACTTATTCAATCCGAAATTGATCAAACATGCAATCAAGATGTATTGATCATTACTGGTGATTCAAATGCAAAGGTTTGAAACAAAGAGGAAGGATCAGTAATTGGAAAATATGGCTTGTTCTCTAGTTCTATTTAATTTCCTCTGATAAAAATCTCATAACTACAGTCTCGTTCTCCAAATTCTGTTACCAGTCTATTCAAACACTTAAAACTTTTCTCCTTCATTTCAGTAAAATTTTATCTATTTTCTTGACTTCAGGCCTCATTCTCTTCAATTTGTTTTAAAACTCATACCCCCATACTTTAATCTTTCCTCAATACTAATATCACCATGTTATTCTTTTGCTCAAAAGTCTAGCAGGGATCCAGCCTTAGCTCATAATGTAGTAAACTAAAACTCTGTTATGAACACAGAAAGGAGAAAGTGCCCAATATACCATGAGATAGCTACTATATGCCAACCATATCCTAAACAGATTACAAAGGCTACTAACTAGACCTTTAAGAATGTAAAGCACCATCAACGGAGAAGAGCCGAGAACGGGACCCTACCCAGAGAAGCAGAGATGCCTGAGATAGAGACAGAGACGATGACATGGAGTGATGAAGCGGCTGGGGACTTTGGATCCAGAGTGGGAGAGGGACTGTGGGCCGAAAACTGGGGGTGGGGTAGGGAGGAGTGTAGGGGGCAGGTTTCTAGGATATACCCTTTGGT